ATACAATACTGGAAGTGACGTATGATTTCTCTGTCTGTACATATCTAAGTGAAACTTAATACTGGAAGAGACAAGTTTCACTTAGATATGTACAGATAGAGAAATCATACAATACTGGAAGTGTCAAGTTTCACTTAGATATGTACAGATAGAGAAATCATACAATACTGGAAGAGACAAGTTTCACTTAGATATGTACAGATAGAGAAATCATACAATACTGGAAGAGACAAATTTCACTTAGATATGTACAGATAGAGAAATGATACAATACTGGAAGAGACAAGTTTCAGTGTGCGTGTGCGCGATCTACTAGAAAATTATTTTCTATGATTTCTTTCATTTCATCAAAATTTTTTTAAACATAGTTTCAATACCAATGATATAGATTTTCTTCTCTGTTGCTTTCTTGTCAAATATTGTATAGTTGTTTCCATTTTTGTATACCAATATATCTTAATTCTTATTACAGAAAAGGTACTTTCATGAACACCACTAGTATTATTTCAAAAGAGCACATTTACAATACAGAGCACCATATATTTTTAAGAATATTTTAACAGTATATTCATGTAGAATAAAATTATTCTTTAAATTTAAATGTGGTTCCAAAATAAAGTGATGTTATTGAACATCATACTTATAAAGTCCTCATTGGTGACTGTAAACATATTCAAAACTTGTTTCTCTTTCAGCAGAACAAGTAGTCTCTCTTGTATGAAATCAGACTGGTCTATGGTCCTACTTAGAGACTGAAAACATCACATGTATATATATCACTTGATACCACTATAGAATCATTATGCAAGTCTTTAAAAATGTCTTTGAGGAAAATGCATGTTCAGAAAATTAAGAAACTTCTGTGCAACGTATTAAGGGTAGCTATATATACCAATTGTAAAAAGTGAAGTTTATGGCAAGTTATGGTATGAATTTTTATTACTTAATATGAACAAATATGCATTAGTACAAAGTTGAGAAGCCATGTGTATTAGAACTACCTGAAAGGTTTAAGCAGCCTTGTTCACTCTTTGCAATGAATGAGCATCAAATGTGTGTGTGTGAAAACAAAACCTATACTAAATAAATCTCATCACCTAAAATGCTACATAGCTTTACTGAATGGCATTTCTTATCATCAACCTAAAAAGAAAAAATCTATAAAAAGCGATAAAGGCTTAAATAAGTAAGCCAGATGCTTCTTATTGTTTAAAATTAAAATAATTCAATACAATATAAGATTTTTTTAAGACAAGGAAGTTAAGTATTTTGTTTAACAGTAAGTTGGGCTTAATACTGATGTTCCATTCTGCCATCTTAACATTTAATAGATAGGGCTACTGCTTTAGTATCTGCTTGATACTATAGCAATAAGGCAAACAAGCATAAGCCTAACTTAAAATTAATAACTCAATACGAAATTGCACAACCTTAATAAGTTCATCCAAGTTCTCTACTGCATTCTCAAAATAACTTGGAAGTAGTTAGAATACTGGTAAGAAATTATTAAGAAGAATATTAAGTGGATCTTAAATTTAAAAAGTGGTTTGACAAGTATTCCTTCATCATACCTGAGAGTTGGCAATTTCATCTTGCAACTTTTTTTCTAAATCTTGCTTCTCAATTACAACACTTTTTTGCTCTTGTCTTGCTTTATACAATCTGTAAACAAATATTAATTTGCCATTGTAAACACAAGCTTTTCAGCTAATGTACCATATTATTTAAACTTAAAATAATAAATTTTATTACATTATCAATACAGTAAACTGTTAGCATTCAAAAATGTAGACAGTGCTTTTCTTATTCTAAAGTTATTAGTATTAAAGCATTAAAATTTGGAGTAAAAGGTCAACAGATGAGTATCTACAAGATGACCTTTCAAAATATCTGCTCAAACATCAGAAGGAATATTTTGCCTTATTCAAAAGAATAATGTGTCATCATATACTATATAAAATGCTACAGGTACAGTCATGAAATATAACCATAGGAGATATTCTGACTTATTCAGAACCTTTTTTTTCTTGGATATGCAAACCAATGATAAACATGACATTTCATGAAAGCTTTGTAGAAAAATTATCTATTTTATCTCAAATATTGAACACCTGCATTCAATTGTATGGGATAATTATTCAAGTGCTAAGGGTATGGTTTTACTTGTTAAAAGTGCCAGTCCATTTAGTAATCTGATCACAAAAAGAGGAAAAAAAATGTGTTGTTTCAGAAATGTTAGAAATAGTTAAGTGATGCAAAGAAAGGAAGTCACAGTTATATGCTGATAAAAAATGAATTACAAAATCACTATAATATGAGCTTTTACAATATAGCCACCAAAACTTACTCTTGTTGTAATTTTAACAAAGTCTCCTCAGCCTGCTGGAGGCTTTGCATGTCTCTCATCATCTTTTGCAACTGTCTCTGTGAAAGCTTGTGTTGAATATAAGCAAACCAGCAGCCTCCAGTAGCAAGTACTAGTGACAACACCAGCAAAATGTCCTTTACATAATTGTGATCTGTTAGAAAGGTAAATATAATACATATGCGGGAAATATTAAACTTCTACACACTTGAAACAAAATTCAAGATTTATTAGAAGCTATAAGCTAGCTTCAGTGACCAATTTCTTTCATCAAATACTGTTTTTGTATGAACTACCACCTCTATTTAAAATGAATGAAAATTACTTCAATACTGTCTAAAAATTTTGAATTTTATTTTGCATTCCAAAAGTGAAGTAATGATTAAACTGTGATGATTAATAATTGAAATATTGTTAATAAAATTAAACCCTACTTCTACAATCAAATACATGTATGTACTAGATATACTTGTGCAGGGTCCCCCAAAGTGTTCTGTTTCAATAGTAAATAAATTCAAAATTAAAAGTAACAAATATTCTTATTTCTTGCTTTTTAAGTTCATATGTCATGCTGTGTTGTAGCCTACAGAGTGCATTATTCTTCTTGTGATTCATGGCATGCATGATAACACAAACTGCAATGTTAAGCATCCCTTATATGATGTCATTTTAGAGTCTACTGACTGACAGAGACCACACTATATATAGTGGTGCAAGTGGTTAAAATGGTGACCCCCTCCAGGCAACCCTCAGACCCCTTTCAAGGAAACAAGGTGGTAGAGATTACAAGCATTATATTTTGCAGTATATAACCAAAATCAAAACCATATTTGACAAATTTGATCTTACAGCTCTTTTGACATACTTTCTATAGTTTTTTAATTTTTACTTTTCTAACAACTTGGAATTTTAATTTTTTTCTAGTCAATTGGGAATAATATTATGTGACTATTCTTTGTATATACGACCTACACCCACACACTAGAAAATATATTAAATTCTTATGCTCAAGTTTAACCAGATAAAGAGATTACATAAATCATACAAAATGTTAAAATTTATTTAGTATAACATGATTTAGTTTTCAACTATTCAAAACTACTTATCCATCTTCCTACTGAACCACAACAGTTTTATTGCTCTTTTATTATGATATAAAATATTTTGCTATAATCAATGTAAGGCACATGTAGTTGACAAGAAGAAGCAGTGACATAAACTACAATGACTAATTTTACAAAAAAAAAAGATGTAGAAAAAGCATTATTTTAAAAATATTTAAGTACATTGATAAAAAAAATAATTGTACACATAATTTATCTTTTATAGACTATAACAATTTGTTATAAAGTTGGTTATTTGAAGAGCTGAACTGCTTTTCAAACACGTTTATAATTATGCAACATACTAGAATAAATCATAATTTTTTCTAAATTCATATAATTTACTCACAACGTGGAGGTCCAAAGAGGACCACATCCATTGCCTTCAAGACTATCTTCTGTTTATGAATAGGATCTTTGATTCCCAAAACTGAATTCACAAAATGATGGTCATTTATGGCCATTCTAAAGATAGAGAAATCTTAAAAATTGGTTTTATTACAAAACTTAACAATAAAATAGTATAATATGAACATTGGGATATGGATAGAATCATATGAGTAACGTTAAAAGAAAGTTCATGCACATTTTTTTCTTATTTTGCTTGTCCAAAAATAAGAAGAAAATAAACATAAAATATATATACATGTTAAAAAAGCTCACTTATTGAAACACAATAACCTACAGATTGTCAAACTTGTAACAAATATTATCTGATTACACATATTACCTTGGTAAAGTTAAGCCATCAACTGCATTCTTTTGAAAGTTTTGGATGTACTGAGGAAGCTCCACATGAGTGATGAGCCAATCAATAGTGTCTTCTAGTGTCCAATTATGAACTAAATATATACATAAATGAATATGACCTACACAATATCTTTGATTTTAAATAATTATATTAAAATTGTACATTAACAGAACTACAGGAATATAGATCAGTTTGTGAAAAAATAAAAAAAACATCACAAAAATGACTGACTGACTCACACAAACAAAATGACCTCAAAAGAGATGAAAATTTAATTTTAGAATTTGTTTTTCATACAAAAGTACTTATTCAATTCTTATTATTATTGAAATATCAAATATTTCTAAGATTAAACTTTACAATAACATAAAAAGTTTGATTAATAGAAGACCATCTTTTTTGGACTGAAATTTACAGCTAAGTTAAATCAATCTTCATGTAACATATAGAATAATTTAAACTATTATTACCTTCTGATAATTTCCATGATCTCCATAATTCATCCATACTAATGTACTTGTCATTACCATGAAAGCTTTTTTGTCTTTCATACCCATTTTCATAATGTAGTTCATCTCTTAAAAACTTGAAAAAAGGAAATTTAGAAATTAACTTTATGAAAAAGTTATAAGTAACATACTATATCAAATGTCATTACCATTATTATGAAATATAGAAAAAACCTCTGTTCTTAAAATTATGAAATTTCCAAGGTGTTTTTAACAAAAAAAAATACTTATGTTAATATCCTAAAATAATTTCACTACTGGCCAAAAACCTTTCAGAATGATTGTTTTGAAAACTTTATTATCAATATAAACAATCAATAACTACTACATAGGTATATATCCTGATATGCCAAACAAAACATATTTAACTCCTCCTGCTTGCCTTAACACATACATACACTAAAGGTTTAGATGAGTCTATAAATATATAGTTACCGATTGAACTATACAAAATAGTAGTGTTCAACTGATTCTTTATACCTAGTGTCTGAATTAAAGTTAAAGTTTCTGTACTTCATGTGTTATATATAACCAAAAACTGTTTTATATGTAAAGATAACTGGTTCTTCACTTAGTAGTTAGAAATTAATAAACTTCATAAAATATATATAAAGAAGAAAATTATATGTTCTCTTTACTTGCTTTATTTATCTGTGTAAGGTTTCTTGATTCTTTGGTTTGTTATACGTATATACTCACTTCCCAACCAAAAGCAAATGTTGAAACATAAAACTTTTAATTAAATTATACTCTGTTGACTTCCTGATAATAAAACCTAGTTTAGTGATTATGATTATCACAGTTTTTATGAAAATAAAAGAGCAATACTAACAACAAGTTTATTCTCACTTAACTGAGTACAACAATAAAAAAGGATGAAAAGCATAATGAAGAGGTCTCTATGGGCATTAAGTAACATAAATCTTTAATCATGTGCAACACAGTTGTGGAGAAGCTCTTATAGAAATCTGGAAAAAACAACAACAAAGACTTCTTTTATTCTTGAAAGTGCTACTAATGTAAGCGTTAGTTTTTTACAAAGCACTGTAACTCATTGAAACAAAGACAACATTATTCAAACCTTACAGATGATTTGCTGATCATAAGAATATCATATTGCATGCGTACATGTACTGGTGCACGTACAATACGGATCCACAATACTTTTATCTGCTCACAGTTTCATTGGTAAAACAGAACAAGTCACATTTTTCTTTGTGTTTGTAAAACTATGGCAATCTACAATTTCTTTGGAGAAAACTACTTAGGTTCATATTTTATTTTGTAAAACCTTCATGGGTCAATAACTTCTTGGGTAAAAGTTACACTGGTCCACAATTTATATGGTAAAAGTTACACAGGCTCACACTTTTGACAAGATTTTTCTATATATTTCTCAATATGTGTGTGTGTGTGTGGTTCCACACACTAGAATTCCATACCACATCTAAATTTTTTAAGTACTTTTTCTTTCTGCAATGATGTGTAGCTAAAACTCCAAAGTTTTGTATATGGATGAAAAAAATAAAAGATAACATCATAAAATTTTCTATTACTGAGAACAAGTGGAAGCATTTGTTAGCACTTAAGTTGTTTATCTACATTTTTTAATCACATAGACCCCATCTACAACTCCCAGAGTGTGCACTAGAGGAGTTTGGAGGGATTTGTCCATCCCCCTTGTCAAAGAACATTTTTTTCAAATTAGGTGCCTAACTGTAAGTTAAAGGTGTTAAAAACCTGTGATAATAAATTAAATAGCACAAGGCCCCAAACATTGAAGCAATAACTAGCCCTATGAACAGTGGTGGGATTCAGCCGGTTAGTTAAGTTGAAAGATTATAAAACACTTTTTTAATTGAAAGTTTCTAAAGAATCTTTAACACTATCCGTGATGGCCAATTTTTATTTTCTCAGTGATGGGGGGGGGGGCTTTCTGGCCCCTCCTTTTTTTTTAATATCTAATATTTTTACATGCTGCTAGTGAGAGAACCTGTTGTTAAAATATTTGAATCCCACCGCTGCCTATAAAAGTTTGTCCTTGTATATTTTTCTTGAGGCAAATTAACGACTGACTGTAACAGGACTTTAGGCGAGCATGCCATTAACAAAAGTAATATTTCTAATTTAAACTGCCAAATTATTATGCCACTTACAAAAAACAAAACAAGAAAATATCATAAGAAATTTAGTATAGTGACTTTTGTTAGGAATGGATAAAACTAAATTAAAAACAAATTAATAGTTATGTGCATGTATAAGCAAAAACTAATTTTCATGATAACAGTTTAAAAGAATTAGCGGGTTTGAGGAGAAAGAACATTTTCAATTGATTTATTTGTTATAATGTGTATGTGGTGCTGATAGTATCAGGTCGCTAGATGTAGAAGCAGTATGATTAGTTGTTATAGAATTTTGTGATAGACTAGATGGAAGGTATCTAGTCAACAGCATCCACTGCCAACTCTTGAGCTACTTTTACCCTAGAGGGAAGGTATCTAGTCAACAGCATCCACTGCCAACTCTTGAGCTACTTTTACCCTAGATGGAAGGTATCTAGTCAACAGCATCCACTGCCAACTCTTGAGCTACTTTTACCCGACTAAATAGCGAGGTTTCACTATCATTCTAACATTAACAACGCTTCTATAACTCTAAAGTGTGGTACTCGTTTGTTTGAGGCAACAGGACTCGAATAATGAATCTTCAGATTCACAATCTGGGCAAGCTAACTACTAAGCCGAGTTAAAAACAATTACGAAATACGAGGAGAAACATTTTCACCTTCTGTCACGGAGACTTAGGCGGTACTAACATCGTCATATGGTTAAAAGCAGAACTTAAAAAAATCACTATGATATGCATCCTTATGTCTTTAGTTTAGACACAAAATGAAATCCCAGAGTTAAAATGATTACGTTTTTTTTTTCTTTTTTATAATCAGTAATGACAAAATTTACGTAGGAAGTCAGGAACCACCATTCTCTGGGTGAATTGAACGTAAGCCAATTTCATTTTTTCAATTCATTTCCACCGCTTCAAAACACCCGTGAAGTATGAAACTAAGCTGTTACCTCGTCACTTTCCGTGATATCAACATTCCCATTAGCATCATCGTCCAGTTGTCGATGTAGAGCAACAATGGCCTCAAATCCAGGAATGTCGCTACAAGCTCCAAGCAGATCATTACAGCTGATTCCTAATCAATAAAAGAAAAAGAAAATATATAAAATTTTATAGAACAATTACTAATGTTACTTAGCTCAATGTTATTAATTAGTTATTAATGTTACTTACGTCAGAGACATCCACGACAATGTAGACATTACAAAATATAACACTTTTTAAATGAATTGAATACCACTTATTTGGGTCAAATAATGGATAATAATGATCACATGAAATTTGTTACCGTGTTTATAAACTTTATACAAACTAAACTAAGAAAGGGTACCTTCCCTCTAATAAGTAGAAACTCATATCACTCGCACTACCTGAATAACTACTAATACAATTTCACTTTTTTCTTAAAAATAAAATAACAACACTCGAAAATGGAATTGAACCCACACACGTGTTGACTATTTATAGTTGCTTTCAAAGAATGAATTTTAAAATCTCAGTAATATTAATATTCGCTTATCGTAGCAATAGGATGTCAGAAAAAATTGATAATTTTTTGATAAGTTACTCTAGTCGATGTTACATAAATAGCTGAAATATTCGCGATTAATGATATTAATTTATGTCATATTAATAACCGAGTATTTACAATATCAATTCTGACTCCTGTAAATCCTTAAGTTTGAAAAACCCGATTCATCTTGTTCCGCCATTTTCACAAACGCACTAAAGGTACGCTGCGGAAGGTGATTGTGTATGCTTTTATATGTCGACAAATAGCCATTTGTTGTCAATAAATTACTCAGAAAAAAAATACTTACTAGTAGAAACTTTGCAAAATTTGTGGCTTTTAACACCCTTTATTTTTTAATTTTATATTTCTAATGGCTGATGGCTACTAATATCTACTTGAAATAAACTTTGTCACTTTATGAGTACGTCTTCAGAGGGGGGTGGGGACCGTGAAAAAGTTTCTTTTGTATTCTGGTGGAAATGGCAAAAATTGTGAATTATCTCTTAAACTAACCAACCTTTTTAAACATCACATACAATTTTACCTTTTTTTCTGTAATTGTTTAACTGGATTTGTAAATTGACGACAATCATTGAACGAATTTATATCAAGCATAGACTGCCATCTTGTCAAAAAGTAGGTCTGTGGCAATTGGGACTACAATTTACTTGGTTTGGACTATCTTGTTCAAATTAAAACTTTCTTTATAGTATGATTTTAGGTTTATTTTAGTTATTTACATTCCGTCCTTAAGTCCTGTAATAAATGAGGATTTATTTAAAAAGATCACTATCTATAAACTTTGATTAGTTGAAATAATCACGGAAAAGTTAAATAAAACTTCTATTAAGGTAATTTTTATGTAAAAAAAAATACACAGCGTTCCTCTTCAGGCTTGTCACTACATAAGAATTTTCATTCTGTACAATACTTGTACTGAAAAAGAAGAAAAATTAATTGAAGAAATAAAATATATCTTTCTGATTTGGATATTTTCATATCAGTAAAATAAATCATAAAATTTTATATTATGACAAATTTTGTTAAATCATAGTTTACTGAGACCTTATATTGTATTTCAATGTCTAAATACTTCCCTGACTTAACACGTGTAACGGTCAACACGAACAAATAATCTCAGAAATGGGTAAGGTGTCATTTGAAATTCTCATAATGGCTTAAAATGAGCTACTTTTTTTTCTAAGTTCCGAGTTCGTGCTTGTGATGAAACATACACTTAGCTGCTTCGATCATTTGGAATAGAAAGAAGATGACTAAATGAGCATTCTTTGCAAGACCAAGAAAATTATTAACAATCTTATAGTACTTTATGCAAGGTAAACTAAAGTGTGTAGACTTATCCCACGCTAACAAGTGTTAAGAACGTCCTATGTAAACCAGATGTATTGATTCCCCCAAAATAGAAAACGTTATTTATTACCAAACTTGACTAGCATGTTGAAATTTAATAGTGTTAACAACTTATAACTTGAAAAATTAAGCGAAAACTCGTGACTGAAACAGCATCATATCTGACAAACAACGTGGGTGTGGGCGTGTTTTTAACGCAAAGCTACACAATAGGCTTTCTGCGCTCTTGTCCACCGCGGGGAATCAAACCCCCGTATATTTACCGCCGTCTCATTGGGGGACACGGAAAATCTAAACCCAGATTTTAGCGTTGTAAGTTCGTAAATTTACCGCTGACCCAATGGGTACTGGTAATTAAGGCACCAGTAATAATGCAACGTGGGAAAATATTTTAGATACAAAAAAAATCGTAAACATATAACCTTAATATTTTTCTTTCAAGAAAAAAAAATTGTGGTATTTTCAGTGTGCCGTTTTCCTCCGTTTTTACTTATCCCTGGTGCCATTATCGCCATATATTCCAGGATCCATTACAAAAACTCAGGGTTATTACACTGTTTAGGTGTGGAACAGTAATAAAAATAATATATACATATTTATGTAGGCACACACACACACAAACGTCTTGTATTACAGAATGCATGTTTTGCGATTTTACAGCAGCAAATGAGGTATTCGTAATTTTGCATATTTTCCTTATGCATTATCAGTAAGGTCGGAAAACGTCAACATCTACTTGGTTTCTTTTATACGACCCACACACTTAAACAGAATGTGGAAAATAATTGTTACCACATCCTTAACTTTGCCGCCTACTGTGTACTGAAGCCCTATAAGGAATTAAGCATAAAACCATGACAGATTTAGCTACGTTTCAAAGTTAATTTATTTGTGACGCAAGTCTCACGTGTACGCTAATTTTCTGAATATTTCAGGTAACTAAATAAGAAAACATAAAAGATATAAAATTGTAAGATAAAGAAATGTGTAACTAAATTGGTAAATAAATCAAAGGGAAGCTACTGTCATAACGTACTTCCATAGCGTTCATACTGTCATTTTATATTGGTTGGATATCTACACACAAGAATAGTAAGAAGTAACCGCCATTACCTACCTGATGGCGCAGCCACGCGAAAAGAAAAAAAAAAAAACGACATAAAAAACACCTAAATATAGTCGCCGTGAAAGAATTAGCAATTTAATGATTAAATGTTTAATTGTTTTAACCAGAATCACATAAATTCGATGGCAGGATCAGATAAAAGTGGCATTTGACGCTTGTGAGAAACAAATGTCTCGAGGGGTTTTCTTTTGGCATCACTATAAAATCGAATTCTGAAATATACACAAAGCTTTGCTAATTAACTACAGTAAAATGTTACAACCATACATCATTACAGGACCGAAGGCGTTCTCTCGATAAATATGTAAATTTATGACAAACGTTACTGTCTATATTTATGGTGAAAACAAAAGCACTATGTATTTATGTGTGACCTACAAGACTGTGACTGATGAAATGGTGTAAAAAAGTAGTTACAAATCTTGAAATAATGATACTTTTTGCTTAAATGCGCTGTTTAATTACCATTAAACATTGTACGAAAACTGTAGAGTTGTTCTTATGACAACTTTACTAGTTTAACGATGTAAATGGTAAAGTTGAAAAACAAACAAATTCAAGTCTCTTGCAAACTAGCACAGGATATTTGAACTTAATATGACTCAAAAGTTATACATCTATCTATATTATATAATCCCCCCTAAAACGTTTTCATCAAATGATGTGCAGGAGGAACAACTTTGATGTAAGAATTCGATATCATTTACTGCTTTAAATGTTTACGCATCATTTCATAAGACAACCGCACATATATAACATCGTGTAATAAAAAAATGTTACCCTTAACATCTTCGCTACCAGGCATTTCCCTATCCCTAAAGCCATGGGAAATATCAAACATTTTATAGATTTACGCTTACAAACCACGTATCGCCCGAGCCAGTGTGAAAAACGTCAAAGTATGCTTATGGTTCTTGGGAATAGAAATGATAAACAAGAAGTTAAATGTAATTATCTTTAAATCCAGACACTGTATACCAGTTCGTGGTGGCTAGAAGTTAGAACAGTGTTTCTCAAACCGTGGGTCGCGAGCAGGTTTCCAGGGGATCACGAGCTGTCTGTGCTGAGTGAACATTTCTTTTAGTTCACATATCACCTTTGTTATGAACTATGACGAACTGCACCAAGAAACATTACGATTATTTTCATCCTTGTAGAGATAATGGGGGTCGCAAAGCCCGGACGCGGGGGTCTTCTGACAAATCCAGTTGAAAATACTGAGTTAGAGAAAATTTGTAAGTTCAAGGCAACGATTTTCTGACCTTATCCAAATTTCTAAATATATCTTTCGAAACGATGCTTGACCAATAAGTATGACGTCATCACGTGTATGTTTATATGTATACACAAAGAATTATAAATGTATTTGTACTCAAAGGTTACAGTTATAAAAAGCTTAACGAGTTCAATCCTAAAACTCCCTTTTACACGTAGCTTGCAATGAATGACATACTTTTTTACTGTGTATGTGCTGCCCGGATTGATATTTACGTCGTAACTTGGGAAGGTCAGATGCTATTTAGACCTCTTCCTCTCTCTCTTTTACTGTATTTTAAACTGATAAATGCTAGTGAAAACAGGGGTAAAACGCATGATTTTAAACACTGTTTATACTTCCCTTATCAGGGCCATGTCCATGAATGTAATACAGTAGTATTTAGTGTTTCATTACCACTTAGCTTCATTTGGTAGTATATCACTTGTAATTTATCACTTTTCACATGAAATACCCTATAAATACATGTTCATTAATAATCACCCATTACTTGAACTTACCGCATTACCTGGATTATCGTAATCGATAGTATAATCGATTTAAACAACTTACAATATTAATGGCAAAGCATCGTTCTTCTTGTAGTGTTCAGTACTGCAGTAGAATTTTCACTTTTTTATTGCATATTTACGAATGTATTTGTATGTTGTGTTTGAGGATTAAAGTTAACTTAAGCGTAACTTTTGGATTGTTCTTTAAACATCTTATGTTTAACCTGTAGTTTGCCTTTTGCCTTTTTTTTTTCGAAATTACAAATTACAGTGGGTGTTACAAACTGTAAAAAATATA